TTTCCCTACTCTGTCTATTGTTGTTTTCATGTCTGAAGATACACTTCTCTTCAAATTTCAGGATGGCAGAAAATCGGGAACAGAAGAAGATAAAACCGTGTCCCCGTCTCCCATTCAAACTGATGTGGAATTGTGTGTTCAGGGTGACAATGAAAAGCTTTTTGACATATCTAGATCAGCTTTGGCTATTTTCCACGATAGGGAAAGGTCGTGTCAAGGAGCCACAGATCAGGTCAGGAATTCCTTTTTCAATGCCATAGCTTTTGCATTGTAGTTTTTTGAAGTGTGTATTTACTTGCCATCAAATGTACCTATCTCATCACACCAATTCCGCCAATCCCTTGACTTGTTCTGAATGCTTATTTTCATGGTGTAAATAAGACCTATGTGATGTGTTGATGTGGGCCAAAGCATTTTGCTAAACATCACATCACTAAGTGATTTTTTTGTCATCGGAACTATAATAATGACCTCTTTCTTGTTGCATTGCTGACACAGGGAAATCCAAATACAGTTGACTTCATTTTAATATCTCGTCCAACCAGAAGAAGTGACTCATCACCAGCTTCTGGTTCACCGGAGCTTCTATCTCACCATTTGTGTCACTGCAGGTAAGAGTCCTGCTCGGGTAGGGGATTTTTTTTCCTTCAAATCTTCCTCATGTTTCTTCCTGATCCCGTTTGATTTTCCAATTCAGCATCAGGAGCTCAAACCCGATATCATGGCTGGTAGACGGGCCTCGTACCATTCACCATGACTTCGCAACTTCCTTTCGTGAAGTAAAACTGAAGATGACTATCAGAAACGCATCAGACATCACAGTTTCTGTGAGCATCGTCACCACTGATATCCCAAGCAACAATGGCATCCAGTCACTGACCACCGACCCTGCACCACCGGCTCCATCATCTCCAAACCAAGCAGGGTGGCGTTACATGCCACCTGTAACTAACGACCTGAAAGTAACATCAGATGTAATGGGAAACCGTACAGGCAAGCTATCTTCCACAGAAAGTGTGACGCCATTCATATGGTCAGGTTCAAGCTCCACCAAGGTCCAAATCCAGCCGCTGTCTATAGCCAAAATCCCTCTGCTGGTATCAGTGTTTGCTCCGGGTGTATATGATCTCTCGTCCTATAAACTGAATTGGGAGTTTTCAAATGAGCAAGAAAGTGTCCCGCAATGGAAAGAATCAGCAGGGACATGCCCGGGATATCCTTATCACCTTACTGCGCTTCAGTCTCAGTGAAGCCTCCTTTTTAGAGATCCTTTTCAAGTCTGAAACTTTTTGGATTTTTGCAATGAGGATTGTGTGGTTTGTATCCAATGCTTATACTTTTTTGTAAGTTTTTTCCGTAACATTTATTTTCAGTTTCCATTGTAGAATTTGTTGTTGAGGAAAGGTGAACATATAACAAAACCTTGAGAAAAGCCAAATTTTTTGTCTATGCAGTAAGATAGGTGCTCTCTCTCTTTACTGCAAATTGTGTTGTGTGCATTTCTTTTAACCACGAATTTACGATTCACCCAAGAAACAAGGTTTCTAGACAATAAAATTAGGCATCATCATCATCAAATATCAAATGGTCATTTATGTTACACCAATATGTATATAAATATATGTACAAAACAACACCCACATATATAGATATGATTAAATAAACACAACAAACTCAGTTTCTCTCGGACCCAACTTTTGACACACTACACTTATACTGAAAGACCTACAAGGAGAGTATAACTTAAGGGGGGAAGGTCAAGATACAATGATGACTTTCTTCAGTAACAATAACGGGGACGGGTCTTCGGGGTGTAGACTACCTAACTGGACCTATACGAATATCTTACTGGGACAGGACAAGCTTCCCCAGTTGATGGCAACGATACTCAGAAGATGGATTTCATGAGCTTAGCTCGAGGCTTTACCTTGATGCTGTCAAAGGGCTTTGCTTGTTCAACTTGGATGTAGTCCTTTGTTTTCAGAACCTAAAATTGCCAAAACCCAGATTCATATAGACAACTTAAGTTATATTTCAGATGATGGATTGCTTCCAAACAGCAATAAGAAAGAGAGCCAAAAAAGTGTGAAGATTTAGACTTCAGAGACTTGAGTCATGGAATTGCAAAAAGTTACTAGAGGCTGTTTCAGCTTACTTTAAAAGTTAGAATTTTCATGGGGAATTTTTTTTATGTCCGTCTAATCCTTAGACATACCAGTGTTTCGAAAAACATCCTTGAAGCTTCTTTACGTGTTTTTCCCGTTAACAGATTGTCCACCAAAAGAACATTCTTTCCACACTCAGCTTCTTTATCGAACAAAGTCTGCAGGTACTTGGCCACGGCCCTACAAGACAAAGGAATCATCAGATGTTCTTAATACATGTCCTCCACATAAAAGAAACTAAAACGTAGGTAAGTGATAGGATTAACTGGCAGACAAGATCACAAGTAAATATGCAGACCTGGTGCGAGAAGACCATCCACTATTCTCAAGAACACGAGTCTCATCAACATACTGCGTGCCATCTTCATCGTCATTTTCACCGCCCTCGTCATCATCATCCACATTCAAGAATCCTGAAGGCGAAATGAAATAATAAGCAGAAGTTGGCACACTATGGGCCTAGAGAACAGACGTTAAATACTTCTAATCATGTAGCATCTCATATCTAAAATGTTTGCAACCAGCTCTGCTGAGCTTTAATCCCATGAGTTCCCAATTGAATATTGTGAGGAGGTTACTCCTCTCTGGCCCTCAAAACATTAGATAAAATTTAAATAAGAATAAGAAAAGGGTTTAGGACCTGTGTCATGTTCGAATCCAGTGGTTTCCATCTCCTGCTGCATAATAGTAAAAAGGGACAAGAAAAAGTGTCAGGGAGATACCTCAAGGCCTCGTTAACAATGATCTTACTAGTTAGAGTAAAACTTTTACCCTCCAGGATATTGATAAATACCTGAATTTCATTTTTTTAAAACGGATTGTTTGTTTAGAAAAAAACGCCAACTTGTTTACAAATAATATCATCATGGGAGCACTTGACAGTTTTTAGCAACAACAAATATTACATGTAGAGTAAACAAAAAAGTTGTGGTAAAACTAAATCACCATGCTTGACCATAAAACCGAGATAAACCAAATAGCACTTACAGCATTATCTCCTGTAAGACCATCTCGAGAAGCAGCTCCTAGACCTGCTGCATTTTGCACGTCAGCTTCCTCATTAGATACATCATTGGACACTGCTGGGTCTTTGTTATCAGACTCTATCTCTGCAGTTTGGACCCCATCAATATTTCCAACCCCAACTGCATCACTACCATTCTCCATAGCTGGGTTACCAGAACCACCAGCTTCTATGAAGCCAGTTTCAAGGCAATCAATTGCATCATCACACAGAACAGGGCCTTCTTTCTCAATCTCACTAAGACCAGGCGACACATCCATCTTTGTTTCATCCTGTAAAAGTTCATCTTCAGCTTTCAAGTCCATCTCACTCATAACCATGTTCTCTACATTTCCTTCGGCAAGTTCAATGGGATTTGCACAACTTTTATTGCTAGTATCAAGAGGGAATACATCCTCAGCAACTTGACCATCCAGCAATTCCTCATGATTTTCACGAGATCCATCTCCTTGTAAATCCTCTGCACTATAGATCTTTTTGCCAGTTTCCATTTCATATGTTCCATGACTAGCTGATATGTTTACTTCATCAGCATCCCCATTGCCCTCTCCGTCAACTTCCACCTCCGGTTTATCCCCTACAAGCTCATTATCAACTTTTGTTTCCCCTTGCAGATCTTTATTTTGCTGGTCCTGCTCGTACATATGACCTTGAGCAGGCTGCTCCACAGAATCGTTTCTGGAAACTGTTGGGACAGAGCTTTCCTTAACTCTATCTTCTTCCACAACATCAGATCTAACTGAACACTCATCATCTTTCATCACTCCAGTAGAAGCATGGGGGTCATTATTTCCAATTACCCTGATTCCTCTCAGATCATATGGCTCATTGTGCAGAGATACCAGTTCCACTGACAAACCTGAAACACATTGAAAGGTATGACAAGTGTGACTCAAAAGTAACTAAATGGTGAAATATTCAAACAGAGTATATCAAATTTGGAGAGATTTAATATGCACTCTACCCTGGGGAAACTTTAATCCAATATGTAAAAATAAATCAAAATGTTATTCAAGAAGTATGTAAAGAATGCATGCTTCTATGAATATATTATGTTGCAGCTATATTGCAAAAAACACAAAGAACCCAGGGAATATCACATGCCAAATCCATCATTAAAAACCCGAAATGTACATCAACATTTGTGTGGAAGAATAGTTTTGAGAAGCACAAAATAACCTACTTTTTAGCATCAGTAACTTACCAGTGAATATTGGCTCCTTAAAGAGTTCATCCTCCAAAAACTGCCTATGAAGCATTAAGATTTCAGCATGGGTGCATGGTGCTTTCTTTCGTACACGGCGTATATCTTCAGTGTTTGTCAATTGTTGGCGTATAACACTACGGAGAAATAAGCAAGATCGGAGTTCAAGAAAAAAACAACAAAACCGAAACTTAACAAGATTGGTTGCAACTACCTTAAGAATATTGTAGTAAACCTAAACCCTATAAACAAGTCTAAACTCAACTTGCAGATAAGGGAAGAAAAATATACGCATCTCGAAATTATCCATATCATATTCTATCGCGTATCATTGTCTTGAACCTGAGGGTCAAGGTCAAGCACAGCATGGCAAGAATAGCACAGAACATAACAAGTGCATGAGTGATGACAGAAAATTAAGGTAGAGTAAAATGTAATCCTCAACATTTAAGAAGACATACTCGCCGTGTAAGACCATGGGGTCATCCATAAGAACCTTCCTCTTCGAGGCAGAACGGGGTGCAGACCGTAACCGTTTGTTTGAAGATGCTACTTCAAGCACAGGGGTGGACTTCATCTTCAGAAAAGATGACCTCCCAACTGATACAATGAAAGGCAAATGATTTAAAAAACTGAGCACAAAGAGGTGAACTTAGATAGAACGCTCAGAAGCCCATTTACTCATTTAGTCTACTTTACATGAAAAAGAGTGATAAAAATGAAGAAAATACATAGAGGGCAACAGACACAAATACCTAAAATAGAAGATAACAAATCATCGTCATCAGGAACAGAATCTGCAGTTCTCCTAGAGTGGATCAGCCCAACTGATTCAACAGAGTTCAAACTTTCTGCAGTTAAGGTGCTCTCAGTGAAAGTACGTTTTCTCCCAGTAATGTTTTTAGTTCCATGATCTTTATTAGTAGTGTCTGCATCCTCTTTGTCTGGCGTAGTTTCAATCATGAAATCATCTTCCTTGTCTGCGAGTCCATCAGGTACGGATAGTACCTTTTCAGGAGCAGGCAAATCAGAATCAGCAGACCCAATCACATTTCCCAACTGTGTATCAGCTGTGTGCACATTTTCCAGCTGCCCATCTGGTCTACTGCTGTCAGCCTGCGCATCGCCTCGTAAACTAAAATCTGTTTCTTGATTTGCCTCAGCTGCGATACCACACTCACCTAGCAGAAAAGGTAAAAAGATCAGAATAAAGGCAAGGAACCGAGACTTGGAATTTGGAAACAGCCTTAGTTCAGGCAGCAAGCATATAACAAACCTCGAGTCTCTACTCCAAGATCTGTTGGATCCTGAGATGACTGATGCTCAACAGCTTCTGACTTCTCAATCATACCATCATCCTTACTGGCTCCTGGTACAGTCATTACTTGACCTGGATCCTCCATCTCAGTGGTGATGTGAGAACAACAAGGAGATTCAGCCCGTACGTGCTCTGCCATCACTGGCTCATTTTGCCCATTGGCTTTCCCATCTATTTGCGACTTATCCCCAACCGTGACTGCGACAGTTGATTCTCCCTGACGCACGATCTGCCTGTCTGGGTCGCTAGTCTCATCAGGTAGCATATTCACATCTGATTTCTGACCAATATCATGTTCAGAAGACAGTTCATCCGTACAGCTATGCATCTGACAAACGTCTAGCTTCCTGATTGCCTTCCTACCTTCTTCTGCAACATCTGACGCATTCTGATCTTCTACTTCCATGTGATCATCATATGCTGGCTCCTCTCTGGCACTAGACAGGTTTGGCACTTCAACTAATCCAGGAGTTTGTGGAGCTTGAGCATATTCATGTAACTCATTGTGCACGATAAGGTCTTCAACCTAGCAAGAAGAGAATAATAAGGCGTCCAGCGGAAGGACAATGTCATACATAACATTTAAATAGCAATACTACAAAAGAAGATCAACAAGTTGGTGCAAATGCAATGAATACAGTAATCTGCAGATCAGTATACGTAGCAGTATGACACATTCGGTTAACAAAAACAATGTGACTCAGATGACAAATGTCCAGTGATTACTAGACCCCAGCATGGACGATATTTCAAATGGTAAGCACCTGATCTTCATTGAGATTCTGCAGCATGGCTTCATCGGTTTCTGGAATTGACTCCTTTATCTCAGGTGTTGAAGCATCCAAACAAACATCAAGATCAGCACTGGCGTCAAATGCAACGAGTCACATAAGTCAAAATTTTGGTTGATAATGGCACATTAAAATAACACAGAATCACATCGAAGGAATAGATTCATATAAACACAATTCCAAGTCAGCTCTTGATGCACAATAGGGATTTGGGCACGCAAAGAAAAGGACAAATTATGGATATAACAAAGCTCAGGATTAAAAAGCTTAAAGCAAACATTAAAGCATCCAATCACACGTCTCTCTATATTTCAATCAACTGTAAAGTTTTCCCTACTATTAATTTTTTTTCATGGTGATTTACGATTGAAAACAAAGTGACAGGTCTATATTGCAACCAACTTAGGAAGGCATCTAATGGCTCCCAAAAAAGAAAATAAGAATGTCACGTTGCGGATAAAATCGAAGGAAGAAATAGGAAAAAAAGGTATTATATAAATGACAAATACAAAAAGCTGACCCTGAAACTCCTACATCCTCAGCAGTAGCAACATCCTTATGGTGAAATACTTCCTGCACAAATCACAGTTCAGAAAATAAATTATAGGCCCAGTCACTCAGGACAGATATACATTAAAGAATCAATTTGAAAGCCAAAGACACAAAACTTCAAGTGAAGAGAAGAATGATTAAACATTGGGACTTGTTGCAGCTTCCTTTCCAAAAAATAAAAACTATCCTCTATACAGAACATTTTTATCTTCTGCTTTTGTATTTGTAACATGGCCCTTAAACTAAGAGATCAATAAGAAAATTCCCTTGGAAACACCTGACATTCTGACACCAAGATGGAACGAAACCTGATACTACTACAAGTTGGAATGTTGCTCATATAAGGAATGATTCTGAATACACACGATGTCATAACTCTAACATAGACACGTTCCTCGGTGAAATATACCTGTAAATAAAGTCCTATATTTTTTTCTGATTCTGTTCTCTTTAATATCTCCAAAAGGCGCACTCTTTCGTCAATTTACTTAATGAGTAGAGCCAAAATTGTGACAACCATTGATTAAATTCATTAACCTTTTGTAACTTCTGAACTTTATATTTTGCCATGTGGCTTCAGATCTTGATATCAGTTAGATTATGCAGCTGTCGAGGCTAAAAGCAGCTTGAAACTGAACTATTACCACCAGTTCTTTTTCATATACTAAAAAGGGTGAACCAAGAAGCTATCCTACTTTTTGTCAAAATGACTTGAATGAACAAAGCAGGAATCTATGTTTCATTACGATTCCACCCTCAGATGGTAAGAACAATGATTACCTCATCTAGATCCAAACCAGCTTGAGAAGTGTCACCATCACCAAACCGCTCTGCAAAAGTGTAAAAAGAAAGAGCATTAATTTCAGGCAAAACTATTAATACACTAAAATATAAGCAGCATGAACATCCACTGACCATCTAATCCAAATTGTGATGCTGAGTACACAACACCATCCATGGTATCCTGAAGGGTGATCTGCTCCCTTGTACTAACATGATGATCGACATAATTTCTGCTAGACAAGCAAATGATGAGAAATGGATAAAGAAACCTTCAAATCATCATAATTCAGATATTAAAATTTGGACAGAGAAGAGAGAAAGTCAAAGTGGAGCTGTCACGTATGGTCTAACAGCCAGACCAATGTGTGAGAGATCTTATATGGAAATAATGATTTGGGAACCCCATTAGGAGTATGAAGTTGCCAAATGAAAAAACAAGTTCTAGAAAGCCATGACTGACCAAACATGAAAATATGTAAACATGGCAAGCAGATAAATAAAATGAGCACACAGAATATGAAGCATGTGTGTGAATATTCAAAAAACTAACCCCTGAAAGATTTCGTCGTCTGGAAGCTCAAAATCATCAAGATCAAATGTCTCTGGCAAAGTAATAGAGTGATACGGTGCTTTGGATTCTTCTGGTGGTAGATCAACCGCAGTAGAGCGAAAAGCTTGCTTTACCTTAAGCAATGCCTCACTGCAATCATCGAAAAGGTAATTCACCTTTTTCGAGTAGATTCTCACCACACCAAGCAGAAGATGGCTTGACAACCGCAATGCGATAGGAACATCGGGAAAGAGAATAGAATCTGCTCGGAAAGAAACAGTGTTTGGATGGCTTGAACACAGATAAATATTATGGTAGAGGATGGCAGCTAGATATTGGCATTGAAATAATTTGTCTACTCAGAGTGACTGCAAAAGATGTATAGGGAGGCAAACATATCTGAAACCAATAACTTTATAAGCACGCTTCTGTTGCAATATAATTTCCGATTATATGAGTACAAATATGGGAAATACACGTGACATCAAAATGGTATCTACAGCTAAATGGATCACATCTAAAAACCGAAACATTCTTGCATATTAATTAAGATATAAGCCTAAAAATAGAATGGTACACAATGTCCAATATAGTCAAACGGTGGATTATCCAGTTTACATATAAGATATTGTGTGAACACCATAATGTTACGTCCTATAATTGCAAAAGACATTCCATTTGTGCTTGTTTTCCGACATCCTCCTATACAGGCAGATAATACTTCACCCTAAAGAGTTTACCTCCTCCCCAGATTTCAAAAGGTATACCAATGTATTAGGTTTTTTAAAGTGACACTACCTCAAATGCTGTTCTACAAACCAACATCTATCAAATGCAAGTGCAGTTGTCAGAAACGGCCCAATGGCCAGTAACGGCTATTCAATACTGAAATATATACATGACAAAACTTTAGCCTTTCATCCAGCCTAACTTTGCCTAGAAGCAAAGAACCAGACTTAGTGAACAAATGAAGAATATAGTGGACACAAAGAGTAGAAGATGGTAAGTACTCACCAACAGAGACCCCGATATCAGTATCAGCAACCTGATTCTTTCGGAGCTTCCTCTCCAAATGGGCTGCGATCCATATTGTTCCCAGTGGCCCTTTCTTGGCTAATATGAACTGCGAATAGAACATTCCTCTCCCGAAGCCTAAAAACCCTAAATTTCAACAAATGAACCAACTTTTAAGAATTTCACCTAAAACCTACGCCTAAAAGCATTAAATACACGAAAAAGAGAGGAAAAAATTTCTTCGCAAAAGCTAGTAAGACAGGTATAACACTTTCAAAACCACCGAAATCAAGTTGAAATCTTCGATTCAATAATCTTCGAAGAATATCAGAAGCCCGAACTTCCAACGCGGGAATCAAAACAGTAAGCGTAGTGATTGCTAGAGAATAGAAACCCTTGACATTCCTGCACAACTTCACCATCTTCGAAAGCAAATTACGGAGTAAAAAAAAAAGATGAACATTACCTGAAAATTCAAGAAAACCCAACAATTCAAACAGCTAGATGGAACAGAATCCTGAAAACCCTAGCCCGCAAAATTCTGCCTTTACGGGAGAACCACACTCCTGTGAACCTTCTCCGTCGGTCGGAAATCGGACAACCCGTATGCGTCAAAGACACGAGAAAACAGTAAACCGGAGAGAGAGACTTAAGGAATAGTTTCGAAAAAATGGATCTTGGAGTTGCTCCGCTAAATGTCAGCGATTTGGTGCGAGACGGGGAATGAGACTTGTGACAGATGTCATCGTCTCATTGGTTGAGAGATGAGATGGTCCACCAAAGCTAAACTTCAAGTCAACATTATGTAACCCTTTATTTATTAATCCCAGATTATTACCAAAGGCCCCTCCCTCTTGCCCAAAATAACTAAAAACATTTTCAGTTCTCAAAATTTTTAATTTTCATGTCACAACATAACATTTAAAATTAAAAAAAAAAAGTTTTTATGGGATGTGCGAGCATGTATATTAATAAAACTGCCAAATGTGCCCAAACAAAACCACTTCTATGTCATCTAGTTTCCCTACGAACATAGAGAGTTTAACCGGTGAAATACAGCGTACCAACTTAAACCGGTCAAACCAAATTAACTGAACCGGTTACATGGGATGATGAATCACATTGAAGATAATGCCATGAGGATCAAGAACCACAACACTACCAATAAGTATCAGTACCTGTGGCTGTGTTTCCTAATGTTTTTACATCTCACAAACCATGTATCCCTGTTTCTTGACAAAATCCCGGCCTGTTTTTTTTTTCTTTCATTCAAGAGAACTCTTCCCAGTTTCCGACTAATTAGTTCACTGACATATCATTCGGCTTCGAGTTCGGCAGCAAACTGTTCCAACCGCTGGGATTCCAAGTCGAGATCCCGGACCATGGCATGGTTCACTAGTCCATCGTCTAGGCTGGCATGTATCTGTCTCTTGGCATACCTTCATTCGACAGATAAGATTACTCGGGGTTACTTTTTCGCTTTAAAGAAGAATCAAAACCTTGAAAACTCCATAGTCTAGCATGAACATCAACTCAAAAAACTACACGGGATTGTTGCAGAAGAGCATACCATCGACCATGCATTGCATCTATACATTTCTGTGCATCCTTCCGATCCTTGAATCTCACAAGAACAACACCTTGTGGATGATGCTCACAAACCTGTAAAACCCGACCCAGATAAAAGAAGAAATCATTTGGTTTTCGCCAAACTATCTAAACTTTCATATCTGACGAATTAATATAATACAATCATCACTACTACAAACAGAAATGATTGTTATAAAAGACTGGAAACAGAGATGCTGATTTTAAGCGTCCAATACTAGACTCCCTTGTGTAACCCAACAAATTCAACTAAAGCATCATGTCTGTATGCATAAGCAGTATTGAATTTGTCAAACCGACGTAACATCTCACCTTCACCGAGTCAACTGGTCCGTACTTCAAACTCTCTTCTTTCACATCTTCCTCTAAGTCAGCACACAGAGTCTCATCTGTCTGCCAAAAAGCATGAGTAACCCAATCATTCTCTATCTGACACCATACCACATGGGCAAATATCTCATATCAACACAGAGAAAACTCACTCTCATCTCAGCTGGAGCGAACATGTAGCGGAGAACAACGGTAGCAGGAATAGAGACCTTAGCATCATCTCTACCACCTACGTCATTATATAAGGGAAAATGAGATCATGATAAAATCCATGAAGTCAACACAAATAACAAACAAATACCAAAGGCATACTTCCATTTGAACTCGTTCTTATGAATATCTGTAGAATAGTGAAAACGAATTTTTCACATCCTTATAGCCTCCAAGTTAAGTGAAATCACGTGTAAAATCAAAAGGCAGAAAAACATCACGAACAGCAACATTTCTTTTAGTTTAAATATAACAAACACTAAAAACAAAAAAAAAAAAGTGAGAAAATAACCAACTCCTTCGGCCTCTAGAACCACCCCATGAAAGGCCAGTGTCAAAAAGACATAAGAAGTTTATATAAAAACCTCCTTGGGCCTCCACACAAAGCAGAACCATACCATAGACAAACTTTTCGATTATAATTTTGCAGCTTAAAACCAAAAACCAAAATTAGTAGCTTTACCAAAAAGTGGCACTAACTCGATTGAAAATCCGTCAATTACCAGATTCCTGCATTTACTTCTGATTCTACCAATTTCCTGTTGTTAGGTCAAATCAAAATTTTATGGGTTCCTCCATTAATTAGTGGATAGAGGCTCTTAATTCTCGCAGCCTATTTTTTATCCTAGGTTTAGCAAGGTTCAGTCTGGTAAGGCATAGTTCCTCCATTAATTAGTGGATAGAGGCTCTTAATTCTCGCAGCCTATTTTTTATCCTAGGTTTAGCAAGGTTCAGTCTGGTAAGGCATAGAAAATAGGATCTATACCAGGCAATAGAAATCAATATAAAAACTATGCTCTCCTCTGGTCATACCATTATTCCCCATCTCTTCCTATAATTGAAGCTAATTTCACAATACGGTTAAGAGACTGAAGAAAGAACTTACCCCATCCAAGCAATTTTTCCTCGACCTTTTTGAGCTTCTTTTTCTTCTTGTTGTCTGTTTGCTTAGATACAAATTTATCCCCTGAATTCAAAAGAAAACAAAACAATGAGAAGAGTAACTACAAACAAAACTATTGTAGAAATCATAAACTATTAACTGATCAAAACAAATGAGAGAAAGCGTTGGATAAACTATTTACCTTTCTGCTCGAATTTGGCTCGAGAAACTGACATGAGGAGCTTGTCACCGGGACGCAAAGGGGCCCCATCTAAAATTTGTATGGCCAGATCCACTGAAGGCTCCTAAAAACAGGTAGAGAAGAAAAATAAACAGATATAGAGACTATCAAAATTCCATGAGGATAGCTTCAGATGTTGCTAGTACCTTCATATACGTGACAAGAGCATCTCCTTTCTTTCTTCCTGTCTGCCTGTCAACGTAAAGCTTTATACGTGGTTTGCCAATGTCAGGATCCTGCAATGTTTATCAGATACGCATTTTCAGGCCCTAATAATATACAATTCATGATATAAAAAAATGAAAGGGGGGAAAGCTGCTCCTAAGAGCCAAATAACAATCATCGTGTGACTTCAATATTCAAGGAATAACACAAAGGAAAAACAAGATCAAATCGGTAAAAGAAAAGACAATTGCAGGCACATGAAAGTGAGAATTTACCTCTTTAATTATTCCACATTTAGAAAATACTTCTGCGACCTGCGGTGGATATCTCTACTATCAGTCCATTTCAAAGCTTGAGATATCCATAACAGTAGGAAAAGGCATTTGGTAACTTACTTCCTCGAGGGTGACATCATCAGGCAACCCAGTAACGTAAATATGAGGGTTTACTTTTAACTCAAACCAAGAATCTGGAGGTTTGTTTGCTTCCTGAAAAGACCATTTGAAACTTAATATACACTTGACAGAAAGTTTCACGAGGAAACGCAATTGTACACCATTGAATTATACAAGCTACCAGCTAGAACTTATCACCAGGAAATTCAAATGAAAGCACAAACATTCTGCTAGTCCCAATAAAAGTATGATCATCACGAAACCGAAACATTTTGGTTCTTTACCAATTAATTCTTACCCAGTCAACATATTGGTAAAAAATAACTATCAAACTAGGACATGTTCTCAAATCCACCAAAACCAAATTCTTGCAGCTGATACGAAGTTGCCCAGCCTAAATTCAAGTTTTCACAAATTCACAATCCCAAGAACACAGAAAGACATGAATTGGGGACCACAGGTAAAGTAGATGATCAAAGAAACACAGAAGTAAAAAAGTGATTAAAATAAACACCTTCTTCTCAGCTTGTATCTCTGGCATCTTTCTCTTGCTGTTATTTTTTACTTCAGAAGATTCACCAGACATATCTTGAGTCGTACCAGCCACATCATCCTTGGAAGCATCATCCTCATCAAAAGAGGTATCAACAATGTTTAGTGTTGGAAATACTTCTTCTTCTTTAGCAAAGGTCATCTCTTCAGGCCCATATTGTTCACTGCTACTCGGTGGATTGTCCTACAATAAAAATAGCGCATGTGGATGACATAAAATGATGATAGTCTTTCCAATTAATGACGTATCCCTTTCCGGAAAGAAGATCAGATCCCTAAAAACCGAAAACTATAGGAAATGCAACACCTGAAAGGCTCCTTAGGTTTCAAAGAATCAGTCATTTGTGTAAGAGTTTCCAAGGAATTCATCATATGCAAAACCTAGAATCATTTCAATAGCACATATAAAGCCAAAGAAGACGTTTCCATCCCTTGCAACAAAAACAGAATAAAAACTGACAAAGGTCTGATTGAGAAATGAGCAAAGGTAAAATAATAATCAGTAGATTCTACCTTTAATTTCACTGAGAAAATTGGTTGGGTATGTTAGACCACAAAAAAAAAAAAGGAGGCAACCAAAGAATAAAGAAAAACAAAAGCCACAAGGTTCAAAGATTCCTATCGGACCCAATTCGCTCTTTTCATCAAAATTTTAGGTGTTACATGTTGAAACCTAACTGTTCGAGATTAAAGCAGAGCAAGACATGGCAAGTCAATCATTGCCATAATGCTATTGCAGGAAAAAAAACAAAGGTTGACTGATAACCAATATTGATAAATCCAATTACTAAGCTGAGAGATATTGATATTCACAAGCAATAGAATTCTCTCGGACATAGCAAAGACGAGTCCCACCAGGCAAGATGACATATACACCGTTATAACCATTACCCCGAAAATGCAAGGAAGATGATCCTAAGTTTGTACTCGTAATAGGAGAAAGAATGACTAAATTAGGATACAAAGTCAGAACCAAATCTCACCTGAGGAACCCATGCTCTAAGAGTCTTGTCCCATTTATATCTAGTCCCGTCATCATCCGTAAACTCATCTTCACCCTCCGGTGGTGAAGAAGCCCTATCAAGATCATCTTCAACCAAATTGTTACCAAAGCTAGCAGAAACAGACCCCTTTTTCAACCTTTCTGCCTCTGCTTCTGCCTCTTTAATCTCCTTCTGCCATTTGTCAAACTCATCATCACCACTAGTTAACACTGCAGCAATACAATCACATGGTAAGAGACGTTTGCAATTTGAAAATTAGATTGCTATATCTTCTTTCCTGCACTAAGTAACTGACCCGTATTATCCCGTCTTTCGTGCTTGCTTCCAGCAATAGATCCATTTATCAGCCCAGATGCATCTGACCAGATACCAACGGTAAGAGAACTGGATCTAGAAAACAAAATTGTACCAGAAACTGACGATAAACATGGAAAACTCAGGAACCAGAAATGGTCCTACCTGAAGTTGGATAGTCACCCATCGCTTCAGAAATCCTTGACATTAACTCCGGGATAGAGGAAAGTGGCTGCCATTCACTTCTTCCCTCAGACCAGACTAGGGTAGTTTCTAATAGATAACCATTCCGGAAATGGCCTGTACAGGTGAAGTAAACAAGCAAAGTTCATTGTTTAGTAGCTAGTGAACATTTTACAGATCATAAGACAGTAGTGAAACAATGCTATCAAATACTTCTTTAACCGATCCGAAATGTAAGAAAACTTGAGCGTTAACTCTTTCTTCCTTTTCTTTTTTTGCAGAGAACATTTTAAACTAACCTGATTTCTATTTCAATGATAAAAAGGAAAAACAGCTGTTTGTTGTAGAGAAACACGGAATGTGTATAAAACCTCGACACAGCATGGCATTTGTGACACAACGCTTACCACAAAGCTCAGAGAATGTATATGGGCCCAAGCTTTGCTGACTTTCCCCAAGAATGTACCAACCAACATCAGTAACCACAGCTGTATACTCATCAACAACTGCCATTGCACCTAGAGTTACGAATAGAGAAACAATCAAGAATAAACCAAATGAGAAGCACTTAGATGGCACCACCAACGAAACATGAGCACCCAGGGTTTATTTGAAGACAACAAAAACATAGGCTAAAATGCTCGAGAAATAATCGAACCGTGAAATTACGTCGGCCCAACCACAAAATAATACCACCATAGAGATGTTTTCAACTGAAAGCTAGCGAATCCTAAATTCCCCAAGGATTAGTTTGTAAACTGAAAATTTAGCTTGATCATTTCTACAGCATTGAGAATTGCAAAAGACCACCAAATTTTTCCCGCTATATATATTTCGAAAGTGCTTCTCAAAATCCGTCTATCTGCCCTATACAATTATCTTTCCCATCAATCTCGTAAGAACCTCAACCCACTTCTCGACCCAAAACGTCAGATTGCTTCCCCGAAAGTATTATTTTTTAGAAGACCCACTAAATTCTTTCTAACTTGCTTATCCGATTATCCACGTATTGCGCAAAATGGTTTCATCTACGATCAATCTCACCAAAACCCTAGAACCTCCTCTCTCTCCCCACAATTGAAAAAAACCCAAAGTCCTCCCACAATTTTTCCTAGCGAAGTTCCACCGGAAGACAAGTCTTACAAAATACCACAAAGAAAACAAAACGGAAAGAGAGTTTAGGGAGACATAGATGGAAAGAACTCACCAGTCGATTGCGGCTGCTGCTGCGAATTCTCCGAGTTTCCAGGCAGAGACATTTTTTTTCTTGATATCCTTCAGTAAAGCGATCGACGAAATGCAGTGGCGAGGGAGAAGAAATGCGGGAGGAGGAGCAAGAGCAAGAGCAAGAGCAAGACAGTAGAAGCGTCTGATCTCGTTTGGAAATGGAGGGGAGCTTATGCCTATTCATGATAAAATTATCCTCGTCACGGGTCGGGCTGGGCTCATTGGGCCACTCCGTAAATGGACAATCAATGGTAATTATTTAAATCTTCTATGAAAAAAATTCAACATATTATCAATTGTAATGTGTAGAAAAAAATATAATCCAACATAAGATAAACAAATATATTCGGATATGGAGATCTTATAATTCCATTCAGTTTGAGAGGAAGACCCATCTCCATTATTGAATCTTTTTCAATAATAATTCGACATAAACAAATCGCTAGTTCTTAAAATAACGAAGATGACTTCCCGACAACAAATCTTGACATAAGTAGCCGTTATACAGGCTTCACTTCGCTTCACCAACGGTCATATTTGGAAGAATCTGACCGTTTGAGCCCCTCTCTCTCTCTCTCTCTCTCTCTCTCTCTAGAAATCTGAAAAACCGCCATGGGTGATCAGCAGCAGCAATCATCAGTCCAAGAATCTCCCAGCCACACCCGTACGTGCAGAATCTTCATATTTTACGTCTTCATGGCTTGAGCCCTTGAATGTTCTTAGTGTCGTGGCTTCCTCAAGTATCATGATTATGCTGATGGAGGCGACAACAGAACGAGGAGAATCTCAAGGACTGGCCATGGCCGCCATTCTGTTAGCTGTGTGATTCAAGAGCATTCGAAGAGAATTTCGAGGGAACAACACATTCCAAATTTAATAAGTTCCGAGTATTTCAGATCCGGTTGGTGATTTGAATCAAATCTTCGATTGTTCTTTCTTTCGGGTATTATTTTTTGATCTATATATGTTGTGTTATATATATATATATATATATATATATATAAATTGTAATATTACTTTTAATTTTTTTGTTCTTATTTTGAAAATTTTATTAATTTTATCTTTTTCCAGTGAATCTAGACTATTCAAAATGAGTCAGAATTTGTATGACTCATTAAAAAAAACAGAATTCGGATCCAAAACTGAAGATAACTAAATCGAATTCAATATAAAAATCGAATGGTTATAGTCATATTCTGCAGTGGATTGTGTGGTGATGGAAAATAGTCATAATCCGCAGGGGATCCGTTCATTCAGTGCGCCGAAATTATGGCTGATTACATTTGATACATGTTTCCTTTTTCCATCTTCTTTACAATCTGATGATATGACAGGAATTTGATGGTTTGTTTTCTCTAGATTTTCTTTCTATCTTGTTTTATGGAAAATCTGGAGGTTGCATAAGTCTTTGTTCTTCATAAGACTATCGTGATTTTCTCTGCGGCATATATGGCCATGTCATGTTTTATAAACACGTATATATGCATATATATATATATATATATATATGTATACCAAAATCGTAAAAAAAAAAAAGGAACAGGTATATGTGTATACTCATCTTTCAATTTTCAATCCCAAATTTATTACACAAAATCATTTTTATATCTTATTATTTATTTACACTTTTTATTTTACACATATCACAAATATTAGATCTTAAACTATTAAATATTTTACATATATAATTCATAATAACATTATATTTATATTTATTTGTTTTAAATTTTATTGATTTTTTAGAATATTTTAATTTATTCAAAGAAAAATAATTATGTGTATTTTTTTTAATTACGTATCATCTCGATGTTTGGTAAAAGTTGGAATTAACACGTTTGTATTCGGAATCCCACGTCAAATTTTAGTGTTAAATATGATATAGTTATAGAAATACTGATTTATTTACGAGACAACCTTAATGTCTCTAGATTTTATTTGGGTAAAAATATTTTTTTTTTTCAAATAAAAAGAATTCTAAGATGGTTGGATCGACATGGTAGCAAATCCATCATCACAAGGGTAACAAATCTTGAATGCAAAAAAAAAAAAATATTGGTGGAGTTGAACACCCTCTATATATATATATATATATGATCGGTTCCAAGAGCTTTGAAATCAGAGTGATAAAAAAAAATATTCAAGAAGAAAAAAAACACAATGTTAGAGAAAGAGGCATTGTTAGTGAAAGACGATGGACCAGTCGTCGCCGGGGAAAAGGGAAGCTGGCCGGTGTTCGCGGCGGAGCTGAAGAGCTCCGCCGGAATGGCGGCTCCCTTGGCCGGCGTCAGCGTGGCTCAGTACCTTTGTCAAGTCGTGTCCGTCGCTTTCGCCGGCCACATCGGCCAACTCCACCTCTCCGCCGTCGCCGTCGCCAGCTCTTGCGTCCGAGTCTCCGGCCTCACCATCGTTGTATACAACCATGATCCATCCATCCATAGCATACACATGCATGCATGCATGCATACATACACATATGTATATTACAGAAATATCATATTATGTGTTATAAAGTTATTTTCTTGAACTTTTTTTTTTGGGTAGACTGGCACAGCAGGTGCCCTGGAAACTCTGTGTGGTCAAGCTTATGGAGCTAAAGAATACAACAAACTCGGGACATACACGTACGCTGCCATCGCATCCAATCTTCCACTCTGTTTCCTGGTATCGATCCTCTGGATGTTCATCGACAGAATCTTGATCTCCCTCGGACAAGATCCCGAAGTTTCGGAACTGGCTCGATCCTACACTCTCTGGCTTTTCCCAACCTTGTTGGCTCACGCCATCTTACAACCTGTTACTCGGTTTCTTCAGGCACAAGGCTTAGTTCTTCCTCTGTTCTACAGCTCTTTCGCATCCCTTTTGTTCCATATTCCGATTTGTTATTATTTGGTATTCAAAACTGGCCTTGGAATCATCGGAGCTGCAATGGCGATAAGCTTGTCTTCCTGGTTGGACGTCGCCATTCTCGCTCTCTACATCAGATTCTCGTCCTCTTGCAAGCATTCTCGCGGGTTTGTGTCGAGTGACTTCGTTCCGAGCCTGAAACAGTTCCTCCGTTATGCGATCCCATCTGGTGCAATGACTTGGTAAACTCTCTATCTCTGTCTTCTTCCTTGTTAAGTTGCATACTGTAATAAGAGCTTCTCTAATCTCGTCTCGTGTTTTTTCTGCTCCTGCAACAGTTTAGAATGGTGGTTGTTCGAGCTCGTCCCGTTGATCTCAGGACTCCTACCGAACCCAAAACTCGAAACTTCCGTTCTTTCAGTGTGGTAATTAGCTCTTTCACCTGTAGATTCCGCAGTTCTGTTCTCCTCATCGTCGATTAAGTTTCAAGAACTATGATCACTTAGCGTTCTTTTTTGTTTCCATGCCCAGTCTTACTACAAATTCTCTGCATTACGTCATTCCATACGGTTTAGCGGCGGCTGGAAGGTACATATCTTACAACATTTTCACCTTGTAAGGATTCGAATTCGGAGATGAATAATCATATTATGGGTAATATGGTTAACCTGCAGCACACGGGTTTCGAATGAGCTGGGAGCAGGAAAACCCGAGGCAGCTAAGCGCGCGGTTTATGCTTTGCTCGTCCTGTGGTGGGTAGAGGCGACAATCTTAAGCGCCCTTCTCTTTATCTTCCGAAACACCTTCGGCTATGCCTTCAGCAACAGCGTGGAAGTCATAAACTACGTCACGAAATTTGCTCCCCTGCTCTGCCTCTCCTTCTTCTTCGACGGGTTCCACCTCGTTCTCGGAGGTGTATATACATATATATAGCTCTATATATACAATGTACAACGAAAATGGATTGCAGAGAGTGATTGTAAACAAAAAAAATGCAGGGGTGGCTAGGGGAAGTGGGTGGCAACACTTGGGCGCGATGACGAACATGGTGGCTTACTATCTGGTGGGAGCTCCGGTCGGAGCATTACTAGCTTTCGGTCATCACTTGAATGCCAAAGGACTTTGGTACGGTATTGTCATTGCCTCTGGTCTGCAAGGGCTCATTCTTGCTTTCTTCACCCTCTTCACCAACTGGAACGAACAAGTCAGTGTTTCCCTTCTTCCAATGTCCCTAATATCTTAACTAGAGAGTGGTAAAGTAATGTAACTCGTTCTGGTGCTAAATTTGCAGGCTGTGAAGGCAAGGAAGAGAATTAGCTCATGAAAGATGGATTGGCAATGGCAATGGCAATGTCAATGCATGTCATGGCATCATAATAGGCATGAACATGTATGTATGTTTGCTACACCAACAAAACCATCATAAAATCCATCTCAACCAAGCCACCTTTGTTCTGGACCTTACGTTCCATGTATCTCTTTCTGGCAATTCATTTGCAAAAGCAATAATAAATTCGAGGGCTAAACATGGTTTTTTTAAGAATGTACTCGGATTTAACTCCCATATGGACAGACGAAATCATGTTCTCTTTTGTCATCTACTGAGATCAAGAAGATAGATACTGCATAAAAGAAGTCCATCTGATCCCTAAAACTCCATTTCTACCCTGAAAACCGATACAAGAGACAACGTTTTCCACCAAATCCAAACGAAAGCTATTAAGTAGACCTTTGGATTCATCTATGGATTAGAAGAAGAAAGAAAGAAAGAAATTATGAACACCAAAGTAAAAGGGCACTGTACCAGACAAGCAGTTTGGGCTCTTCTCACTTCTCTTATCAGCCTCTACCAGATTCTACGTCCTCTTCTCGCCTCAAATCAGGGTTTTCAGCCAAGTGTAACCCCATAAACCCGTGCCCGCTTCCGTCTTCATCGCGATTATCCCCAGCGTTTTGATCATGTTGGGGCACCACAGCAATGGTCACTTGTGTTCGTGAGTCCTCCAACACGCGGAAGTAAGCATATGGCCCCCAACCTATACCACAAGATTAACGTTGTAACGTGCAAAAATATTAGTATGTGTATAGAGCTTCTTGAATAAACCCAACTCATCCGGGCAAGTTCTAGGCGTTCTGACAACATTTGGACATGCCCAAAAGGTTCTTTCTTGCGTTTTTTTCAGACATTTTTCAATGCAGTTCTCCTAGAACACCGGGCAAAAAGACTACTAACGGAAACTTCATTTTTACCTTCAGCATGATACGGTGGTGGGAAGAACTGAAGATAGCAGAACGTGGCAATCACAAGACCTACATTGACCATTTGCAATGATTCAATGTAATAAATTCGTTGGACATAACAGAAAACAAGTATGGAATCAGAAGGGAGACAGAGGTCACAGACCTAGCAAACCTCCCGCAAAGACGTCCTGCCAATGATGCCAGTAGTCATCCACACGGGAAATTCCAACAATTGATGCGAATAGAAGAGGGAGAAAGACTATGCATAGCTTTGCAATGTGGCCTTTTCGGTCAAACACTTGAATTTTTCCCGATAAGTAGAGTGACAAAAATCCCAAACCAGCAAATGACCCTGAATACAAGAACCAAACGTCTTATGAAACTAAACGATCTTTATCTTCTAACCCCTTTGTACCGAATTCTGAATTTTCTTCCTCTTAATGCGTAAATAATAAGGCAGTTTGGTCTTACATGAAGTGTGTCCGCTAGGAAAGCTTTTGTGACCTTCCCTTATGACGCCTTTTTCGCCATGGCATATAACATTTCCAAGTTGATTGTAAACCTGAGAAGTAATCAGATATCAAGAGCCGAAAACAAGTCACATAAGCACATAACAGTCGATAAACTGATGGAGACTTACATCTTTACCGTCAGGAAAACAACGCCAGAAGAAATCAGGGCGAGGTCGACCAACTGCATTTTTTATCGCATCAGTAATTACTGCTGTCACAAGAACCGAATAAAAGAGGCCTGCACATGAGAATGTTTCAATTAGAGAACTACTTACTGATATTCTTTCCTTTATTTCGTGGCTAATTTAGGATTTAGTCTCATTTGCTAATGACATAGCCTGAGTATATTCACTTATTTCCTTTCACTAGAATTTAATTTATCGAACCTAATAACACGAATGAGGACAGATTAAGAAAATGGTCACAGAGTGAGAAATTCTAACCCAGTATAGCATGATGAAGATCATAGACATCCCTTCTACGGAAATACACAGCAATGAAAATCAACAATGGCAGTAAAACTGCGTAGAGCTGTTAATCCACAGAAAGAAACATTGGTTATAAGTAAAAAGTATATGCGGGTAAGCTACATACAATTAAAGAACCATAGAAATGGAATCTTACGGGGACAGCCCAAACGGGTACTGTATTACTCTTTAGAGGGTATTTGAGATCAGTCATCATATCCTTGCCGACAAACCGGTAAAACGGGTGGATTGCCAATAGTGTGATCTCCAGCACAACAAGAAGCAGAAGTATCAGCCAATCACGCATATGAGTCCTTGCAACTGTGATTCCATGGGACCTCACAGTGTGAGAGCCTAGCTGTGCCTCCCTCATTCTGGGCTGTTAGGACATGAACATGCCACAACGAAAACATAACCACATCATACCCAATAGGCCAATACATGATAAAATCTCACATATCATACATGGTGAAACCCATCATGATGCAGGTGAGAGTATTCTGATACATCCATCATCTCATTACATTTTGGGCAAGGAGAAAGCTGAGGGGAAAAAAATACAAGCAATGGAGGTACATGTGATGCGTCATGCATGAAATTAGATGACATACAGAGTATGACAAGAGATAGATGCATGCCTTACACAGAGGCAAACACTTTAGAGAAAAGCCTTTACTAGCACAACCTCGAGTTTCCTATAAATATTAAGCTTTAAATCATTGTCTTATATCAAGTAAACTCATCAATTACAACCTGACTCGAATCTCGATGAGTTGACACGGCATGGAAACAAAGAAAATCTAGCCAGACCCGGTTTTCTGGGTTGAATGCCTCTAAATCTAAGCTATTTCATACATTGGTCAATCAAGCTATGCTCCCAGCCAGATTAGAATCACTGGACTGGAGTTTCCTGAAATCATTGATCAAAGGTGAAAAGGCAAAAAAACATTGGTACCTCTTCACTTTTATGTTCTATAAGTGGAATGTCAGTCGATGAAACCCAATTATCAGCATTCACTGAGCTCTCCAGTCCCTGGTTTGTCACAGCCTAGATCATCTCAAAAATCACACACTCTTTCCAGGTTGCATTTTGATACGTGAA